GCTGGGGCTCATGCACGGCGCATGCGCCCTGGCTGCCCTGGGCCCTGAGCACGCGGAGGGGCCCGGGCTCCTCCCCGCCTGGTGCTTTGACACCGCGTGTGTTGGGCGGGGGAGAGAACTCTGCTGGCCCTCAGCTGGCTTCTGCACAACCCAAGCCGTCCGCCTGCGACTTCAGCTTCCAGAACCCGGAGCCTGGCGCCTGCAGACTCGGGGAGCTGCCCAGAGCACGCCAGAACCTCAGCTCCGAAAGGCCTGGGGCTCACCGGGCCAAGGGGCGCTGCCGGAGCCCCCTGGGAGCACACGCAGGGGCCAGGGTGTGCTGGACCCCAAGTCCCTGAGCTCTGGCCCCAGCCCCGTCACTTGGGAGCTGCACGGCCCTGGGCACAGCATCCGTGCTTCTCGGAGCCCCGGTCCCTGCTTCGCGGCGCAGTGGTGATGACGGAACTCCCTTCACGGGCCAGGCTCGGGTCAGGGTCAGGTGCACGAAATCGTCGTCTCCAAGAACCGGGCCCTCCCGCACTCCAGAGAGGAGAGGACACGGCCTGCCCGGGGGCTTCACCAGTGGGGAGGGGAAACTGAGGCTGAGCGGCCTCGAGCCCCAAATGCTGCCCTCACCAGAGTCCACGCCCTGCTCGCTTTCCAGGGGCCCCTCCTGCGGGACCCCCAGCCCTGGAGCCACGTCCCCAGCGCGCCCCTCGGCACCGGGGCGTTTCCCTGCGTGGCTCCTCTGTGCTACCACTGGGTGACTTCCTGTCTCCCGGTGACAAGGCTGCTGGCTCTTCCATGTCCTTGGATGTTGTTGTCCCACGGCTGACAACAGTCTGTGTGGCTGGGGAGGGTGCCCGGGGGACGCCTGCACCCCGGCTGCTGCCTGCGCCCGGCACGTAGGCCTTGAAGGGTAACATAGGCCCGGGGTGAGCACAGGGCTGTGTCCACGGCTTCCTGTCCCCTTGTGTGCGCACACACCCCATCAGGGTCCCAGGCACACCCCAGCCACTGCATCCCCCGTCTGCCTGGAGCAGCCTGTGGGCTCTGGGGCGGGGGGCCCTGCCACCCTCTTCCTCATGGACCCTCAAGGCCTGGCGAGTGATGCGCCCGTGTCTGCCGAGTGGACAAGTGCACTGGCGCCGTCCCGGCCTCCGGCTGGCGGTCCAGGGCTGGGGCTGGCAGGAGGGGGTCCTGGCAGGAACCCCACGCTGTTCTCTTTCAAGCTGCATGACTGGGGAGGTCCCAGGCAGAGGCCTGAGCCTCAGTTTCCCCAGCTGTAAAATGGGAGCGACATTGTAGCAGCCACAGGGCTGTGGTGAGGATTTGGTTAAGTGATGAGTGTCTCCACTCTCTACTCCGGCTGTCGGCCGTCCTGGGCAGAACCTCAGGCAGAAGGACCCAGCCTCCCCCAGAGTCTGGCTGCCGAGGGGACACGAGGGGTGGCAGGGTGCACATCGCCATGGGGACAGCTCTTGCCCTGGCGCTGGGGGACCGTGGCACCAAGATGGCACCACCTCGGACAGGCAAAGGCTCTGTCACAGCCCAGGTGCTCCTCCCGGCGGGTGGGGAGAGGGGCCGGCTCTCGTTTGCCAAAGGCTTTGCCGCTGGGGGGCTGCAGGGGGGCTGCCAGGTCCCAGAGCCTCCAGCAGGCAGGAAGACGGCGGGCAGAGGCCCACCCGGCGGCAGCGGGGTGCAGAGACAGCGCCACCTGCGTCCAGCCCTGGCTCGGCCCTGGCTCTGCGCTGAGGGTGGGAACCACGGGGCCCAGCCCAGGGCTCCCGAGGGTGGAGTGAGTTCCTCCAGGCCGGCAGTCACTTCTCAGGGTGGTGGGTGACAAGGGGCCCCCAGGCCCGTGACCCCCTCGCCTGGAGGACCAGCTGTGGCCCAAACCCATCTCTCCCAGGCCCCACATCCAGGAGAGAAGTGAAGCCCGCTCTCGGCCAGGACTGGGGGACCTGCAGAGCTCCCGTGAGCCCCTTGCAGCTGGGCGCCCCGAAAGGCCACGCCCCTCTCAGACGGGGCCAGCAGCTGCGTCGTCCCCCTGGGGAGGCTCAAGTGTCCCGGCCCCCTCTCACAGCGCGAGGGTGGAGCACCCGCCGCCCCTGAGGGCCCCCGCTCCCCGGGCCGTGTGGCAGCCCCTGCTGGCGCAGCTCTGCCCTGGGCTTTCTCAGTCCGCTCCCCAGGGCGCCCACACCTGCCCCGCCGTGAGCCGCCCCTCCCTCCCCAGACTGAGTGGGGGGTGAAAGCCTCGCTCGTCTGTCAATCCGGATCCCTCTCCCTGAGTCACCAGGCCTGATAGTCATGAGTGGGTAGTCCGAGACCTCGGCTGGCCAACGTGGCCCCCTGTCTGGGGAGGAGGCTGCTCCCAGGACTGGGGCCCGGCGTCCTGGGGGCCGGCCCTGGCCAACAGTGGTCCTTCCCCTGCAGGGCGACTGACAAGGGCTGGGGGCTGGGGCTGGGAGGGGGCAGCAGCCGCGGCCGCACCCTTGCACGGGGTCTTCCTCCCACTGGAGCCTCCTCTTCCCTCGGCCCCCTCCTCTCCCTCCAGTGGGAACACTGCTCCCTGGAGAAGCCCTCTCACGCCCTCCCCTCTGGGTAGGTGGCACCGTCCCCGCACACACACCACGCAGGCACCGCTGTCTGGGTATTGGTGGGGGAGCCCCGCGGGGGCCTGGACCCGGGCCCTGGCTCCATGGGGCAGTGTTCAGGCTCCACGGGGCAGTGGGTCAGGCGTCTCCCACGACCCAGGCAAGCAGCTGTGGTGTGACACGCACATCCTGGGCCCTGTGACCCCCGGGAGGGGGCGGTCTTGTCCGGTTTTCAGCAGAGAGATGCGAGAGTCCAGAAGCAGAACCCAGGCTGGGCGGAGCTTCTGGTCTGTGCCTCCCAGCAGGGATCTCACTTCGAGGGGCCCAGGACATCCCCCCGGAAGCCGACACTCAGGCAAAGTGCGAGAGGAGGAAATACTCAGTGCAACTCGGCTCAGAAGACACCGGTGCCCCCTCCGTGGCCCCGTCCAGCAGGTGGAAGGCGAGGGGACAGGGAGGGGCACCCTCTTCCAAGCAGACCAACACCGGACCCAGCAGAAGCCAGGCTGCAGAGTGAGCGCTGCTTCCCGACGCCAGGTTACAGTCGGGGTCTGCGCAGGGGCGAGGCCCGGGGGCGCCGCCGGCCGTGGCATCGGCTCCATGGCGACGTGCACCCTGGGCAAGCTTGGCCAGTCGGGGAGGAGGCAAGTTCAAAACTGCGCTTTCTAAATGCCAAGCTTGCCCAGGGAGAAAGGAGACCAGGGAACCGGAAGGAGCCGGCGCGGCTGTCAAACCCGGGGCAGCTTTCCAGCGGCGATGGGCGGAGGGCGCAGGGCACCCCGGAGCGGGCGGGGGAGCTGGCCTGAGCGGCGGACTGCGGCTGCCCGGCCATGCGGCATCTGCCAGCGACCCCTGGGCGCTTCCGCGGCCCACCTGGCTGTGACAACCAAACAGGACAGATCTGAGCGTGCGGGGACAATTCCTGCCACCGTCAGCCGACATCCGCACACCCCGGGGCTGGGCACAGGAGCTCACTCTGGGCCCCTTGGCGGTGTGGAGGCTCCTGTTTCCCCAGGAGAGAGCCCCGGGGGAGGCTCCGCCGCACACCTCCCCGCACACCTCCTCCTGGGCCGGGCCGGGTCTCCGTATGCAATGCTCTACCTGGGCGTGGGCACAAAGTGGCTGCCTCGCGCATGCGCACAACACGCAGTCCCTGCTCCCGGAGCGTCCGGGTTGGGCAGCAGAGCCCACTCACTCCACAGCGAGGGCGGGGCCGTGGCGACCCCTGCGGAGGCCCAGAGGGACCCTGAGCCCTGGGCCAGTGGCATCTTGAGCCTCAGCCCCGTGCCCATGCGTTATGCGGCTATAAACAGGGCCTGGAAATTAGTTTCTAAACAAGATCTCACCGGACTCCCAGCCACTGAGTAACGGTTCTTTATCAACGGCGGGCAGAGAGGGGCAATAAACTCTCGACTCCTCCCACCAACCAGGCCCATAACCGGGCAGGACACGCCGGACTTCTAAGCCTCGGCTCCCCCATCTGCCGAATGGGAACAGCCGGCCCGCGTGTTCCGGGTGCGGCGGGGACCTGGGTGCAGCGCTTGACAGGATGCCGGCGTGGAGGCAGAGGCAGCCGGGGCTTCCCAGACGCTGCTGTCTCGTTCACAACCTACAGGGGCACCCGGGCAAGGACAGTGACAGCCCCAGTCTGCTGGGGACGCGGCTGAGACGTCTCGGGGCTTTGTGCACTGCAGGTGCGCGCGACGTGGCGGGGAGCTGACCGCCTGTGATCTCTCAGACAACGGCAGAAGGAGGGCTCCTGACAGTTCCCAGGGAAGACAGAAATCTGCACAACAAAATGTTTGCTGGCCCGAGCCCAAGGATGGGGCGCGGCGGCCCCAGGGTCGTTTGCATGAAAGCTGCAATTAAGAGGAAGTGGGGTCTATTAAGGAGACTGGAGGGGAACGCGCCCCGGCTTCTGGCGAGGCTATAATTAGACTGCAGGCCCCCTTGTTTTTTGCTGCCAATCCAGAAGGCCCTGGCCTGGGGCTTGTGCTAGAACGTGGCGGTGGCCTCCGGATGGCGGTGGCGCGGACGCTGCCTTCCCGGCAGAGGGGGTGCGGGCCAGCAGCCGAGGCGACGCCGGCAGTGCCCAAACCCTCAGCACAGCCCCGGCTCACTCAAACCCCAGAGTCTGTGAGCAAACCAAGGCACAGAGAGGCCAAGAAGCTCGCCCAGGGCCACACAGCCGCTATGTGGCAGGGCTGGGATGCGAGCCCTGGTGGTCTGGCTCCAGCATGTGCCAGCCGTTTTGTAACGTCAGAAGGCAGCGCGCGAGGCGCACGCACAGGCGTTCTGGGGGTCACCGGCCCTCTCTGGCTCCGGCTTCCCTGTGGGCACAGAGCAGGGTCGACTCTGGGCTGTCCGGGCCGGCAGCTCTCTTGCTAAGGCTTGGCTCTGCCACAAACAGCAGCCATGGACAAATCAGTGGGTACAGCAGGTCTCAATAAAACTTTATTTACAAAAACAGGCAGCAGCCGGGTGTGGCCCAGGCACCGGAGTCGGCCAACCCCGACCCATCACTCACGCCCTTTCCCACGGCTTCTGCTGTGTTGCGTTCGTGGTCTTAAGCTTTCTTCAGAGTAACTGGCCACACCCCTACGGAGCCTGGAGAAGCCGACTACAGCTGGCTACAGATTTGTGGTACCCCTGAGGTCGACGCTCTGCCTGGGAGTTTTAGTGCTGAGGGAAGGGAGAGCTGGGAACCCTGGCACTCCGGCTTTGGACAAAGCAGCGGAGGCGGAGTTAGAACCATCTAGAAGAGCCTTCCAGTGGAGGATGGCCCAAGTGCTTGGGCCCTGCACCCCATGGGAGACCAGAAGCACCTGGCTCCTGCCTTCGGATCAGCACGGTGTGCTGGCCGCAGCACGCCAGCCGTGGTGGCCATTGGAGGGTGAACCAACAGCAAAGGAAGACCTTTCTCTCTGTCTCTCTCTCTCTCTCTCTCACTGTCCACTCTGCCTATAAAAAAAAAAAATAAAAAGCCTTCAAAATGAACATGATCTGAGCTTGCTGGGGTGTCCTGACTGCCAACAAAGGGCTGTGCGTTCTCCACGCTGCCTCTCATAGCCCCTAAAAGGGGCGATTTCCCATCATGCCTTCCGCTCAGCCCCACTCCTGCCCCAGACACCTCTGCAGACGGCCACCTGTCACCTCCAGCCCCGGAGGTCTGGGTTAAGGGGCTGCTTGGACCCCAGCACCTCTGCTTCGGGCCCAGGTTCCTGCTAACGTGTTCTGGAAGGCAGAAGATGATGGCTCAAGCGCTTGGGCTGCTGCCACCCATGAGGGAGATGGCCTGGCCCTGCCCTGGCTGCGGGCGGCACAGCTCCCCCTGTGGTTGGCCGGGTTCCGGATATGCTAACACTCGCTTCCCCCTTCCCCCTGGCTGTGCACACCCCGTGGCCAGACCTTAAGCACATCCACTTGGCCGCCCTGGACACCTCCCTGCTCCAAGGCACTGCCGCCTCTCCTGGCTACTGCATCAGCTTCGGCCCCTCTCCCCACCCCCTGCGGCACGTCTGGGCCTGCACATGGCCCCCTGCCCGCTCCTCCTGGCAGACGGGGCCGGTGCCAGTCCTCCGTGCCGGGTTATCTTGGGAACGCCTCCAGCTGAGGCTCTGCTGTTCCATATCCCATAATCCCACCTCCTACAGCTGCTCGGGGGAGAAAGCCGGAGCTGGGTTCCGCGAGCACCTACTACAGGCTGGGTGCACAAAGCAGGCGTGGGCCCGGCCCTTGTGGAGCGCAGGATCAGAGCAAGGGCGCCTGAGACCACAGCACGGACAAGCACCTAGGGCAGCCGGGGGGGGGGGGGTACGGAGGCGCGCGGGCACGCGGGAGCCTCGTCCGGGCTGGGCAAGGCTGGGCCACCCGCAGGAAGGCGCCCGCAGTGGGCAGATGCGTCCTGCTGCTGGGAGAATGATGCCGCTTTATCAGCGGGGCCGAGCGGGAAGGCTTTGGTCACGGAAGGCACGCGTGTGCGTGTGCGTGTGCGTGTGCATGCGCGTGCACTGTCTCTGCCAGGTGCAGCAAAGGGTTAAAGTCATTTTCATTAAAATTTAAATTTCAGCAGGCGCTCCCGCTCCCGCTCCCTTCCCGGTCCTTTGAACGTTTGACTGGCAACCATTTCGCATTTCACTCTGAGCAGAACAAATTGAATTAGACGTCGAAAAGCAAGCCCGGCCCGGCTAATCCCCTCCCAGACGCCTGCCGCCCGAGGCAGGGAGGCCACGCCCGGCGCGTGGGTCCCGTCCTGTGTCCACCCAGCCAGGGCTGCCCGGGGAGGCCTGTGTGGGGGACCCGGGTCTCTGTCCTTGAGTCGGGGTGCCGGTGTCTGAGGAATGCAGGAGGGTGGGGTCTCCGTGGACCTGCTGAGTGGCAGGGTGGCCTCCACATGGACGCAGGCTCACTCCAGCCCTGGCCGGGGTGCCAGGCAGCTGCACGACGCCAGGGTGCGCTTCCAGGCCGGAAGTGAACCGGCCTGCACTCACAGCCCGGGCCCGGCCCCTGCTTTGCACACACCTGAGGGCTGGCCACACAGCACTGCCCCCGGCCCCGAGTCACAGACAATTCTGCCACCAGGCCGCGGAGGCGCGATGCGGGGGATGCACCAGGAACATGAGGGCAGTGGCTCGTGGTCTCAACACCTCGGGCTGACCTCTGTCCCTGGGCGCGGAGGGGGTGGGTGACAGGCAACTGCCAGCTCCTTGGGCGTTTGCTGGGGGAGCGCCGCACGGTGGTGTCTGATGACGACAATGACAGTGCTGTTGCCGTAGCGGTCCGCCGGGCAGCAGTCCCGTCTGTGCTGTTTATTGAGAAAAGCCTGGGGCGGGGGACAGGACTAGGGGACGAGGGCCAGGGAGCCAGCACTGGGTGTGGGGAGGAGCCGAGGGGACCGCTGCAGACACACTGGATGCAGGCTGTCTCCTGTCTCTCCCAGGGAGGAAGTGGAATCCAAACTAAGATCTCAGTGGACAAACACAGGAGCCAACCAGGAGAGATGTGGGGAGGGGACCTGGGGAGTGGGAAGAGCAGGAGCAGAGGCCCTGGGGTGGGAGGCCAGGGTGCAGTGAGGCGGCAGCAGGCGGGGGGCCGGGAGGGCCCTGGCACTGGCGAGGAGAGGGGCACAGGAAGGCCCTGGAGGGCTCTGGACGAAGTCTGTGGGTCAGGCCGGCCCACGGAGAACGTGTGCCCCTGGGGCGGGAGGGGCAGGGTGGGAGCGAGGGTGGAGCACCCCATGGACGAGGCCCGAAGCTGCTGCTCGCTCTGGTTTACTGGTCTACCTCCTGCAGCCCCACTTCCAGGCAGGGTGAGCCCAAGACAGGGGCAGAGGTCAGGCTGGACGTGCTGCCTGGCTCCTCACTGCCGAGGCTGACTTTGCCCAGCTCTGGCGCTTCCTGGCCTCCTCGCTGTCTCACTGCACACGGAAGCCGCAGAGCAGGACGGGCGACCTGGGGTCGGATGAGCGGGCGTCAGCTCCACGCTGCGTGACCTTGGACGGTGCCGCCAGCTCTCTGGTCCTGGGACGCTGTCTCCCCCAGTCCATGTTAAACACGAGGAGCTCGAGGCCGTGGAGGTGAGGCCCCTCGCTCGTGCTCCCGGGGCTGGGGCGGGTGGAGGAAGGTGGGGAGCGAGGCACCCGGGACTGTGGCTTGTGTGCATTCCCCGGGTGAGCCTCACCCGGCTGCCCACACCGGGGCTGCGCCTGGGGCCTAGGGCACTCTGGAAACCGAGTGAAGGTTAGAACTGGTGTCCCCAGGACAACGCCCGGCCAAGCTGTGGGCAAAGTCCGAGGCTCCCCGAGAGCTCCCAGCTGAGCAGGAGAAGGAAGTCAGAGCGGCACCTTCTCCGGGTCCTGGTGTGGACCGTTTAATGCAGGGCCGTCTACAGTTTACGGGAAGAACATCGGAGACCACACGGCCGGGGTCCTGGGTTCAGGTCAAGGGCACACAGGTCGTGACTCCGACTGCTTCTCGTCCACCGCTTGCCATCCGGCCGGGGCCCGTCCAGGTCCTGCCCGGGATGAGGTGGGCGCTCCCGGCCTGGGTCGAGCCCTCGATGCTCTTCACGGGGCCCCCACCTGTGCTGGGACTGGCGTCTGGGCGTGGAGGCCTCCTCGGGCGAGTGTGGAGGGCGGCGCGGGACAGCGGCCGACAGCAGCCACGCCCTGCACATCCCTGGACAGACGCGGGAGGGGCCGGCTCAGCAGCCCTGGGGGACAGAGAGGAGGGGAGTTTGGGGCCGTCCTCGTGCTCGGCGCAGTGCCCAGTGCCGCTCCTGGGCTGCCGTGCCGATTTCGCACTCAAACCTGCAGAGGCGGGGCCAGGCAGCGGGGAGGCGGCTGGGCCCAGTGAGGCCTGGGAACCAGGCCAGGGCCCCCAGCCTGAGCCTGGCCAGCCGCACCCCTGGGTGCCGTGCTGCTCCCAGGAGGGAAGCTGTGGGTGCAAGGGCCCTGGGCTCCCTGTGTGGCTGTGCCCGACCTCCCCCTCAGCACAGGGGTCCCTGTGCAGCTCTCAGGGCGGCCGGGAAGGCGCAGCGTCCAGGGAATTCCTCACCGGCCACCTGCACCCTGCTCCTCCCTCCTGCACCCACCTGGGGCAGGTGCCGGAGCCCACGGTCCCCTCCGAGCTGTGGGCGGGGCCTCCTGCCCACCCTCCCGGCTGCCGTCCGGTCCCCAGGCCCCGGGGCCACCTACCCTGGCGCTGCAGCTCACAGTGGAAGGGCTGGCTCCTCGCCGTCGCTGCCGCTGTCTCCCAGCTGCGCCAGGATCTCATCCAACACCACAGACCGCTTCTTCTGCGGGGGCTCTGCGGGAGCCCAGGTGGCGGGGGAGGGGCGGAGGGACAGGCGGAGGCGGGGTTAGGCTCCACCTCCGTCTGGAGCCCCGCCTCCCGGCCCCGCAGCCCCCTCCCTGTTCCCAGCAGCTGGGGCTGGGGGCCAAGCCGATGCCGACCCTGCCCCCTTGAAGGCTGCAGACTCTAAGCAGCTGGCACAGGCGCACAGTAGGTGCGCAACGTGGGGCGAACACAGGCAGGGCTCGGGGCATCCACGAGTCACGGAGGGCGTGACGGCTACGAGAGGCTTTGGGGAGGAGGGGCTATTTGGCTTGGGCTTTGCAGAAAGCAGAGGAGTTCCCTGTGAGAGGGCAAAGGGGCCTCAGAGATCAGCACAGAGTAAACCACAGGAGAGGGGGGTCACGGCGGGCTCCAGCGTCTACACCCTCCAGCCCCAACACTGCTGTGTGCTCCAGCGTCTACACCCTCCCAGCCCCAAACACTGCTGTGTGCTCCAGCGTCTACACCCTCCCAGCCCCAAACACTGCTGTGTGCTCCAGCGTCTACACCCTCCAGCATCTACACCCTCCGGACCCAAACACTCCAGCATCTATACCCTCCAGCGTCTACACCCTCCCAGCCCCAACACTGCTGTGTGCTCCAGCGTCTACACCCTCCGGACCCAAACACTGCTGTGTGCTCCAGTGTCTACACCCTCCAGCGTCTACACCCTCCGGACCCAACATTGCCACACGCTCCAGCATCTACACCCTCCCAGCCCCAAACACTGCCGTGTGCTCCAGCGTCTATACCTGCCCACCGGAGGCGGGGGGAGCCACGCCCATCGCCGTCCGTCACGAAGGGGACGGGGGTGGGGGCGCAGGCGCGTGCTTCCCTGCCCTCCTTGCTCCCCGCCCCTTGTACAGGGCACTGTGGCTTCTGAGAACTGAACCTGTGGCAGGCGACAGGCCAAGGGCGCGGGGCCGCAGAGCTGCCCGGTCTCTGGCCGGGAGCTGGACCTTGCTGCTCAAAGACTCCTGAGCCAGTTCTGCCTGCCTCTCTTTGCCTGGACTCCGGCCTCAAGGACTCCTCCCTCGGCACCACGTCCACCCTCGAGTCGCCTGGCGATCATTTTAAGGGCCAGGTGTGGCAAGGTCCACCCCCAAGGACACTCAGGCCCTGAACACCTGGACAGCAGACAGAATGAAAAGAGCAGGAGCCAGTTCTGGCCGGCCCAGGGGACCCTGGCTGAGGAACCGGCCCCCAGAGCCCCGTCTCCCTGCCCTGCGGCCGGCAGGCTGCCTGGTTCCCTGGGAGGGACGGCGTCAGGGACAGCAGGGGCGGGCGCGCTGGCTGTGGTGTGCAGGCGCTGGGACAGAGCCGGGGACCACGGCTCGCACGCCTTGGGCTCGTCTGGCACTGACTGCGTTTGGGTCAAGTTCCGCTCCTGTGTGCAGCCTCTCTAGAGCCTGATTTGGGGGGCAGGTTTGGGCCCCGTTGACGAATCCAGATGGGACCCCTGCATCCTGAACCAGAGGTCTGGGTCCGAGTCCTGGCGCTGCTGGTTCCAGCTTCCTGCTAACGCCCTCTGAGCACAGCAGGCTCGGGCTCGGGCACGTGGGTCCCTGCGGCCCACCGGGAGGCCCAAGGAGACCGAGGCTTGTGGTTTCAGCCCGTCCTAGTCCTGGCTGCTGTGGGCATTTAGGGAGTGAGCCAGCGGATCGAAGATCTCTCTGTATTTTAGCTAACTAAATAAACGCTGCTTTTCAGGTGAGCACAGGGCCTGGGAGGGGATTCTGCTCTCCCTGGCCGTGTCAGGATCAGGGGCGGAACTCCCTGCAGCCGGACTTCCAGTGCCACAGGCTGGCCGAGAGTGCTGGACATCTGACTGCTGGGCCAGCCCGAGGGGACACCTCCCAGGGCACGTGGAGCTGGGACCTCAGATCCTGACGGCCAAGGCCATGGCGTTGGCAGCCACCCTGATGTCCCCACGGCCCCTGCCGCACAGAGACAAGAGGGTGACCCGCAAACGGCAGAGGCCGAGGTCTGAGGGCAGGAGCGTGCATGCGGACACGGCAGCTCTGGCCGGCCTGTGCCTCTCTGGGGCTCCCGCTGCACGGTCCCTGGGGCGGTCCCTGTCGAGGGCGCCGGGCTCCCCACCTTCATTACCATCACCACTGTGATTGCCATTAGGGTGGTAAGCGCCACCAGGGCTGTGTCCCAGGCAGACAGGTGCAGGACAGGGCCGTCAGGCCAAGGAAGTGACTTGGTCCTCAGGGCCATAGGATGTGCGACGCCTGCCTCCTGTTTGCAGGCTGGACAATGGAGGCCCCGGGCCACCCCCGCTGGTCCTCTGTGGGGCAAGGGACACGGAGGCACCAGAGTGGCTGCCGACTCCACGGCGCTGGGCCTCTGCTTCCTGTCTCTGGAGTGGGGACAAAGGCCCCATCTCAAGGCGCGGTGCAGAGGTCAAGTTCACAGACGGGTGCTCAGCAGGCACTGCCGCCCCTGGGGGCCGGGCCTGCCTGGCTCACCTCCACTGCCAGGGTTCAGGGGGGCCCCCGAGGCCGCCCGGGGAAGGGCACCCAGCAGCCTGCGTGCACGTGGTGCGCCCCGCCCGCAGGCACAGCTGCCGCAATCCCACTTGCCTGACATCAAAAGCCTCAGCGGGTTTTCACCAAACAAACAGAAAGCAGAACCCGGGAAAGGTGTAAAATAAATAAACGGAACAAGCTGTGCACTTCCTTTCAGCATTACAGCTGCACCCAAAGATAAACACCGAGGGAACGTCACTAAACATCAATACCCGAGACATGCACTCGACAAAAGCCCGGCCGGCCCCCAACAGCCCCCAGCCCTGCCCCCTCCCCCCTGCCTCCAACCACCATTTCTGCATTTCTGGAGTTCCCACCTAATGATTTTATTTTTCAATTAATTCCTTGACAGAATGCCAGCCTGCGTCTCTCCCTTCCCTGGCTGGCGTGGAAGGCACGGGCAGGCAGAGAGCAAGGCGCGGGGGTAGGGGCACAGGGGAGGCTTCACGGGAGGGGGCAGGCCGAGGACGAGTGAGCGCGGCTGATGGGGGAAGTGACACTGCTGCAGCCGGGAGCCCGGGGCTGGGTTCTGAGCGTGGGCACCTCGGGGAAGGTGCCCCGTCCACCTGGGCTCAGTTTCCGCAGGGGCCGGACGGCAAAGAAAGGACTGGCGCCCGCAGCTGAGGGCACTAAGCGGACCGAGAGGCCGTGCCAGGCATGGGCACCTGGCAGGCACCCAGTGCGGGCCACCCTCCCCGCTACTCGCCGACTCGCCTCCTGAGAGCACGGGGCTGCTCGCTGCCCTCTTCCTTTTAATTTTTAAAAGGTTTACGTTCCCTTTACCCATGAGATCTTCAATCCTCTGGTTCACTCTCTCCATGCCTGCGCAGCCGGGGCTCCACCCACCTTCCCTGGGGGAGGTAGGGACCTGGCCGCCTGCTGCCTCCACAGAAAGCAAGAATCGGAGGGAGCCAGGCCTTGAATGCAGGCCTGCTGACCAGGGACACAGGTGTCGCTGGCGGAGCCCTCACCGTCACCGCTGCGCCGTGCGCCCATGGCGGACACAGGCGGCAGCTACAGGCAGGCCCCAGTCCGAGTGCCAGGAGCTGACACCCAGCACAACCTCCCCCAGTGCGGCGGGTGTCGGGGAGGTGCTGCCCTGAGGCTCTCGGAGGGCCCGGTGGACGGGGCCCAGCTGCCCACAGCGGGGTCTGCCCAGTACGACCCCTGACTGGGCGCCCCCTCCTCCCACGCTTTCTGAGAGCACTATCAGGCAATTTCTCAGACATCACTTCCTGGGGACCCCAAACTAAGACCCCACAGTTAGGAGGAGACCGCTGGGGTGAAGTGAGGTCTCACCCCGTGTGGGCCCCTGAAGAGCACCCAGATTGAGTGAAAGATTTAACCCGGAGACAAAACCCAGGCCCTGACAGTCACACGCGGGTGCTGTGACAGGAACCCCTGCAGACCTGGCCACCCTGGGCCCTGGCTGTGTCCTGGCTGCCCTGCAGATGGGGGCCTTGCTTCTAGAATATTTCCTGCTGCTTCCTGGGGGACCCCCAGTTTGCTGCCCCCCGAGACAAGGCACAGGCAAGGCCTTGCAACCTGTAAGGTGCAGGCCCACGGGAGGGGGCAGGTGTGGGGCAGTGCAGAGGGCCAGGGGAGGAGGGTGTTGGTGGAGCGTGGGATTCCAGCTGGAAGAAGCCTCCCTCGATCTTCAGACTCCATGGCCCCCTGTCCTGGCTCTTTGGGATGCCCCAGCAACCCCGCCCTGGGATGCATCGGGCCCGGGCACTGTGTGGGGGGGGGGTGTCTGAATGCTGGCTCTGGCCTCTGCCTGGGTCTCTCCTTGCCCTCCCTGGCTGCAGAACTCGGCCCCCGCAGGGGCAGCGCCCTCGGAGGCCCTGATGGGAGGGGCCCCCGGGGCTGCAGGGAGCAGACGCACACTCCATGAAGGACGCCCAGTGGCTTCCCCAGGACAGGGCGCTGGCTCGGGGTGGGTCTCCGAGGATGAGAGGACAGCTGGGAGTCCGCGCTCAGAGGGAGGAGGACCCGACAGCGAGGGCGCAGGGCAGGCGGAGGTTGTGCAGCAGCCACGAGTCAGTATCAGCAGTTTCCCCACAGGCCAGCTGCCCACAGAGTCGGCTAGAAGGCCACTATGCCGAGGTTCTGGTGCAAATGGCCTGGGGTGGGCGGTGCGGACCAGGACTGCTGCTGTGACTCCCCGAGCGGCAGGCAGGAGACGGGTGTGGCTCATGCGTGCTGGGTGTCTGCGGTGTGCAGTGGCTCCACGCTGTGCACAACCCCACGCACAGGGCTTGCTGGAGGCACTTGGGCCAGGATTAGCCTGGATAAGCCTGAGGCAGGATTGGCGATGTAGGCTAAGGCCAGAGCTTAGGGCTCGGGGCTTGGTCCCGAACATTTCTGAGTAGTTACAGACGCAGGGACACCACGCAGGCTGGGGTGACTGACCACGGTCCAGGTGGAGTGACTGACCAC